GGCCTTGGTCAGCCCCGACGGCACCGTCACCGAGGCGCCGCGCACAGTCAAGAAGGTATTGGGGCCGGACTGACTCCGGGAGAGGAGAGGAGGGAGGGGAACCGCGGATCATCTCCGCACGGTTACACTACCCCCCGCGCGTTCCCTTCCGATCGTAGGAGCAGAGACCCCTTTTCCCCCGACCCACTCTCACCGCTGCCCCCACTCGGCCGCCGGTGCTGGACGCTGAGACTCAGGTGGCACGGCCACTTCCTAGGATAACATGGAGGTAGCGCTCTGCCTTACCACTCTGAACAGGCAGGGGGAGGAGAGGTACCTAATACTACGTCCCCGCGGCTCCTCAGTACATGTTCGCGTGTTTTCTTCTGGGCTATCGGGAAGAGACCCCGACGGTGTAGGAAGACCTTATCGCTTTTAGGTTTTCACCCAGCGATAAAGGTAGAAAGATCTTTTCTGCTTGAAGGAGTAAGCAGTAGTTAGCTCTCATTGAAATTCTTCGAGTTGCCTTGCTTCTGTGCAAATGATGACTTTCTGCTTTTCTGTGGTCAGCCGATTCCGTAGAGCAGTACTGATAACTGTGCCCTTCCCAGTTACTGCAGGGCTTGGCATCTTCTTTGATTGTAGGAGGGTAATAGACAGGTTCTTCACTCTTTTAAGAAGTTTGTCCTCCTTATAGTTTGCCAGAACGATTATTAGAAGAGAATGTTTTATTTGTTCCTTTATTGTGACCTGAAATGGTGAAGAAATGCTTGTACTCTTGGGAAAGCGAACATTGTGGGGCTGTGTCAACTGCTAACTTCTTTCGTACACAGTTTTGGGGAAGCCTAATAACACCAAGGAGTAATCATTCCTAATGTAATGATATCTCTGTATCACCCTGACATTGACTATCCATGCTGCCCACCCCTAAGCTAAATCTCTCTCTCTCTCTCTCTCTCTCTCTCTCTCTCACACACACACACACACACACACACACACACACACACACACACAAGACTAATATTGGAAAAATCAGAAATGTGGCACATAGAAAAAAAGGGTTGGCTCTGATTTCCTAGACAATAACACAGTGATTTATTTTTTAATAGCTGTGGATGATTTTTGTTTTATCAGAACAGCAATAAAAGGATTTGTGAAGTCTGCTTGGATTTTATGGATAGGGCTCAGCTGAATTGTAACCTCGAATCCAACCAAACATTTTGTTGTAATTACCTCATAAATAAGGTGTAGCAGATAACTTTCTCTCTTTTTCCCCTCCCCACTTTCTCTCTCTCTCTCTTTTTCTTTGTAGGGGGATCTAACTTAGGACCTCGTGCTTGCCAGGCAGACACTGTGCCGCTGATCTAAATCCCTGGCTCAACCCTTTCTTTCTAACTACACAAATACAGTGATAAATGATATCAGAGGCAAGACTGAAGGAATTTAATAATGCCTTAGGACAGTGTCCATGTCATAAGCAGTATGAAACTCTGGGAGGAAATATAGTAGAAGAGGCAGCAGAGGCAACGGTGCTGGGAGTACTGTGCCTAGATTTGAGTAGGGAAATTTGTGGTATGTTTCTTACTAGTTTGAGATGTTTTATAACTTTGGCCAGATGTTTTTCTTGTGATTAAGAGTCAGGCACAAATCTAAAATGTGTAATTAGGTTAGATCTTTGGAAAGTAAAAGTGTTTTAATAAATTGCTTTTGGAGCATGGAGTTTATAGTGAGAAAAACACTTTGGTTTGAATCCCAATACTTTTTCTCCTACCTGCAACTAGCTCTTGGGTTTTACATTCTACAGACAAGAGCAGGTGCATTTGCAGTGGTATGGCTATAGAATAGTTTTGCATTCTACAAATCAGATTCCCGTTCAATAAAAATGACAATGCTGCTGGGGACTTAGCTCAGTGGCACCTCGCCTTCCCCGCAAGCACAAGGTCCTGAGTTTGATCCCCGGTATTCAAAGTGGGGGGGGGATGGAGGGAGAATGCTAATGCTGTTACAATGAAATATTAGAAATATTTTGAATGTTAAATATTTTATAACCTCTTTATAGGTGTAAGCATTGACTGTGGCACATATAATAGGGGTTGTTTTTTTTTTTTTTTTTGGTTTTTTGAGACAGGGTCTCACTATGTAGTTGAGAATGACCTGGAACTATGTAGCCCAGGCTGGTCTCAAACTCACAGTGATCCTCCTGCCTCAGCCTCCTGAGTGCTGGGATTGCAGGCGTGCGCCACCAATCCCGGCTTATAATAGGGTCTTAAATGATAACCATTATTAGTATGAAGAATGACTTATTCCTCTTATCATGGCATAAGTATATGCTACCATGACTGCCTCAGAAATACACATACAGTTTAATAAATTGGGTATAAAGTTTTAAAAAATCGCAGGCCAGCACACCAGAAACTGTTTTTCTTGAATTTAGATGTGTTTCTTGGCCATTTTCCTTGACAATGAACCACCTTCCTGTTTTTTTTCAGAATCAAAATGTGTGTTTCATGATTCTAGATTTACTCAGCAACCTTGAGGCTATAGAAGACAGGGCTGAGCTTGCCTTACAGTGTTAATCGCCCCCCCCCCCCAAAAAAAAACACTTCTCTGCTGATGAAGCTCTGGGCAAGGATACAGATGTATGACACAAGTAAAGGCACTGCTAAGCTTTTTCTTTTTCTTTTTTTTTTTCCCCCCAGAATCTTTTAAGTGTCTTGATACTAAGTGGAAGGGTGTAAGATTGTTTTTTCCTCAAGTGGAACTTCACTTTACCACACTGTGATATTTTTGATTTGTTAAGCTTTTTTTTTTTTTTTTTTACCAGGGATT